CCTGAAGATGTTCAGCAAGAACGACATATGAAGTTACCTTCGTTAATTAACAATATAGCCCGGGAAAAAGGGTTAGATGGCCAAAATTATAAATGTAATAGTTGTTCCAGACCAATTGGAATGAGTATGATCAGTCAATTCTCGATTTGTTATTTCCATAATAACTCAAATATATTTATTTTCAAATATCTTAGCTTATTAAATCTTATCTTTGTAGAAACTATTATAACAAAGCACATAATCCCTTTTTTCCATGAAGCCCATGGATGCTTTCGTTCATGATGAAAGAGTCATATTGTATAAGGAGGCTCGCGTTCATCACGATTGAGTTATGAGAAAGTTACATTGTAAAAGGTAAAAAGTGAAAAACGTATAAACATGCTTAGAGTTTTTTTAAATTATAATTCAAAAAGGCGGAAGTTGTTTGAACCTTTGAAGTATCCTTGGACGTTCTAGTTTCTTTTATGAGAAGAATTATTCTAAAGAAAAAGACAAATTTTTAAAACAAAAAATCCCGTTTTCGGTCCGTGCCTCCCGATACCCGTGATAGTTGAGCACTAGAGGGTCGCATGTTAACTAAGGGAACCACATAATCCTTTTTTTTTGCCATGAAGCATATGGATGGTTTGCTCGTGATACATGAGAAACAATAAATGGGAGAGTTAAATCAGAAAGATGTAAAGCTATAAAAATGGTAAAAACATGTTTAAGGTTGTCTTTAATTATAAGTGTCAGATAAAGACAGGGTCATGAGAAGTTAATTGAAACATTGCTTGGTTTTTTTTATCAGAGGAAAAAAAAAAGACAAAATTCGAAAGCAAAAAAAACCCCGTCTTCGGTCCATGCTTCCGGATACCTCCTTAAGCTTAAGGCACTAGAACGCCGCATGTTAACGTTTCGGTAGAAGATTTCGGCCCCTCCTCGCTATTCTACTTGGGAGATGCCAATAGCAAGCTTCCGCCCATGAGACCCTGAGATCACCTGCGATAGGCTTTGCTCAGGTTACGCAGGGAGAGTGCGGTCGCCACCGAAGTGTGGGCCCCTAAGCCACTGCATACTATATCGCACCCAGCTTCCACTGCTAGTTGACATCTACTATATGAATTTTTAGCTTTATATATATATACCAAAATTTAAAGGCGTACGAAAGTTGGGGGATGATTGTTATCGTTACTGCGCATGCGCACATGATTTCTTTGATAATTTGCGACTAAATGATTTAATTGAGACAATTGTAGTGCAAATACGTATAGTTGGTCGTTGTCATGACTATGAACAACTACTCGAGTGGATTGCGCATGCTCAAGCAGACTGCGCATGCGCAGATGATTTCTCTATTAAATTGTTACTAAGCATATTATTTAATTCAAAATTGGTGCTAGTAGATGCAGTTGGTCGTTGCCAGACCACGGGATTGGGTATCTGGTGAAGATGATTGCGCATGCTCAAGCAGACTGCGCATGCGCAGCTGATTTATGTTGAAACTTGTGACTGAGCGAGCTAATTACTCCAAAATCGGTACTAGTACATCCAGTTGGTCGTTACCATGAGCTTGGAGAGTTTGTGGTGTTGACAACACATGCTCTCAGATTCTCAATTAATTTGTGACAGGGCGAGCTCTGAAATTGGTGCTTGTAAATGCGCTGAGCAAGTTTTCAATCATATATTTTTGGAATACTCTTTGTCTTCTTATGCTAGTTTTGACAAATGCATATGAAGCTCATCAACACGGCACTCGTAATATCCGTGACACGTTAAAAATGTTTTTTTATTTTTCTCTATAATTTAATGCCTGTATATTGCATGTCATATTTAAGCTTTCCTTTGAATAAACGGAAAATTGTTTTGATTCACTCTTACATCTTCTGCCTTTATAATTATTCGATCTGTATTTCCAAAATAATATTTACAAATGCCCGAACTCTTACGAATACTTATTTACGAATGCTTTAATAACCCTTATCTGTCCATCGTAACTTTGCTATAGTTCTATGGATAAATTATGTTTTTATACTTAATAGATTATTGGTGATCCTACTTCACCTGAAGATGTTCAGCAAGAACGACATATGAAGTTACCTTCGTTAATTAACAATATAGCCCGGGAAAAAGGGTTAGATGGCCAAAATTATAAATGTAATAGTTGTTCCAGACCTATCTCCCAAGTAGGATAGCGTGGAGGGCCGAAATCTCCTACCGAAACGTTAACATGCGGCGTTCTAGTGCCTTGCGCTTAAGAAGGTATCGGGAAGCATGGACCGAAAACGGGGTTTTGCTTTCGAATTTTATCTTTTGTTTTCTTCTCATAAAACAAACCAAGCAATGTTTCAATTAACTTCTTATGACCCTGTCTTCTTCTGACACTTATAAATAAAGACAACCTTAAACATGTTTTATACCAATTTTATCGGTTTATATCTTTCTGATTTAACTCTACCATTTACTGTTTCTCACGTATTACGAGCAAACCATACATATGTTTCATGGAAAACAAACAAGGATTATGTGGTTCCCTTAGTTAACATGCGACGCTCTAGTGCTCAACTATCTCGGGCTATCGGGAAGCATGGACCGAAAACGGATTCTTTGGTTTTCAAAATTTATCATTTTCTTTACAAGAATTCTTCTCATAAAAACTAGAACGTCCAAGGATACTTCAAACGTTCAAACAACTTCTGCCTTTTGAACTATAACTTAAAAACTCTAAGCATGTTTATACGTTTTTATTTATTACCTTTACAACGTAACTTTCTCATAACTCTCTCGTGATGAACGAGAGCCTCCTTATACAATATGACTCTTTCATCATGAACGAACGCATCCATGGGCTTCACGGAAAAAGGGATTATGTACTTTGTTATAATCGTTTCTACAAAGATAACATTTATTAGGCTAAGAAATTTGAAAATAAAATATATTTGAGTTATTAGCAAATGACAAGTCGAGAATTCATTGATCATACTCATTCCAATTGGTCTGGAACAACCATGACATTTATAATTTTGACCATCCAACCCTTTATCAAGGGCTATATTGTTAATTAACGACAGTAACTTCATACGTCGTTCTTGCTGAACACCTTCAGGTGAAGTAGGATCATCAATAATCTGTTATATACAAAAACATAATTTATCCATAGAATCATAGCAAAGTTACGATGGACAGATGAGAGTTATTAACGCTATAAAACTTAAATTCAATATATCGTATAAAGTACCTCAAATCCCGACGATTTCTCGTATCGAAAGGATTCTAAAGTAAAGATGAAAATTAAGAAGTTAATTGAAACATTTCTTGGTTTGTTTTATGAGAAGAAAACAAAAAGATAAAATTCGAAGGCAAAAAACCCCGTTTTCGGTCCATGCTTCCCGATACCTTCTTAAGCGCAAGGCACTAGAACGCCGCATGTTAACGTTTCGGTAGGAGATTTCGGCCCCTCCACGCTATCCTACTTGGGAGATAGGTCTGGAACAACTATTACATTTATAATTTTGGCCATCTAACCCTTTTTCCCGGGCTATATTGTTAATTAACGAAGGTAACTTCATATGTCGTTCTTGCTGAACATCTTCAGGTGAAGTAGGATCACCAATAATCTATTAAGTATAAAAACATAATTTATGCATAGAACTATAGCAAAGTTACGATGGACAGATAAGAGTTATTAAAGCATTCGTAAATAAGTATTCGTAAGAGTTTGGGCATTTGTAAATATTATTTTGGAAATACAGATCGAATAATTATAAAGGCAGAAGGTGTAAGAGTGAATCAAAACAATTTTCCGTCAAGTCAAAGGAAAGCTTAAATATGACATGCAATATACAGGCATTAAATTATAGAGAAAAATAAAAAAACATTTTTAACGTTGTCACGGATATTACGAGTGCCGTAACAAAGTGTTGATGAGCTTCATATGCATTTGTCAAAACTAGCATAAGAAGACAAAGAGTATTCCAAAAATATATGATTGAAAACTTGCTCAGCGCATTTACAAGCACCAATTTCAGAGCTCGCCCTGTCACAAATTAATTGAGAATCTGAGAGCATGTGTTGTCAACACCACAAACTCTCCAAGCTCATGGTAACGACCAACTGGATGTACTAGTACCGATTTTGGAGTAATTAGCTCGTTCAGTCACAAGTTTCAACACAAATCAGCTGCGCATGCGCAGTCTGCTTGAGCATGCGCAATCAACTTCACCAGATACCCAATTCCGTGGTCTGGCAACGACCAACTGCATCTACTAGCACCAATTTTGAAGTAACTAGCATGCTTAGTAACAATTTAATTGAGAAATCATCTGCACATGCGCAGTCTCCTTGAGCATGCGCAGTCCACTCGAGTAGTTGTTCATAGTCATGACAACGACCAACTATACGTATTTGCACTACAATTGTCTCAATTAACTCATTTAGTCGCAAATTATCAAAGAAATCATGTGCACATGCGCAGTAACGATAACAATCATCCCACAACTTTCGTACGCCTTTAAATTTTGGTATATATATATATAAAGATAAAACTTCATAAAGTAAATGTCAACTAGCAGTGGAAGCTGGGTGCCATATAAATTAAAACAAAATCTAATTTACATTAAATCAATCATCATGGTTGAAAAGAGAAATTGCAATACTCTGGCAGAGTATTGCAAAAATCTTTAAACTTAACATCTATGCGAAATGATTATCACGAGCCAGTCAGACTAGCCGTCTACTTTGAATATTTAATGGTTTACTTGTGCCTATGATTGCACTGTTATAATATTGAGGGATGTTATAACAGTGTCTACAAAGCAATAAAAAATTTAACTTCCGGTGATGTTCTAATGTTTGGTAAATGATTTAGCCAAAATAGCTATTTTGTATGATTGTATTAGAACTATTGCAATCATAAAGATAATTCCTCGGGAGAGGAAACTGTTTCCAAATTTTCGAATCCAACTTGAGGGCTCGTCATGAATGCTCGTCTGTCCATTATGTTCAATGAAGCCTTAGCGAACAGTAGCCTTACGGAGCAAAAAAAATGTTGCGTTTATGGGCACGTTGGTTCGCTGTGGAAATGGAAAGGTGAGTTTTTTGTAGTTGTACCAGGAAGGAAGGGCTTTAGAGGGTGTGAATTTCATTATGTCTGTGATGGACTCTTGTGTAGCCGGAGGGGGAACTGTGCTTTTCTAAGTGAAATAAAATGGTGAATGGAGGGATGGTATTCAACTTTATGAACTTTTCTGAAGTGATGTTATTGTTATGTTGGCAAAAACAGAAGTCAAGACCTTTGGGCCTTACCATTAAGACTGTCATACAATTTAAACTGTACTCTTTAAATGTATTTAGTGCTAAGTTGTGGGATGATTGTTAATTTAAGCATTTCTTCATCTTGCTCTGTTCAGTCTGTTAGAAATCTCTTGGAAAGAGTAAGAGAAGTCTTAATTTTTTTCAATTCTTCTGATACAAGGCTGCTTCTACTAGAATTAGATATCTTCAAATATTGCCCACACTCTTTAAAAAAAAGGTTGAAAAGTGCTTGCAAAACTAGATGGGTGGAACCCATTCAAAGTCTTGACACGTTTGAGGAGCTATTTTTGCCAATTGTTTTCACACTTAGGGGAGATGTACTACAATCTTGAACATAACAGAAATGTAGAGACATCCAGCAAACCAGGCCCTCTCTTTCACTTTCTAGCTAGTTTTGAGTTCATTGTTTGCCTCGTGATAACAAGATGCTTCTTCGACCTTACTCTTCCTGTTACCTACCCAATTAGTCCAATCTTCTAGTAACGATATTGCAGATGGTTTGCATTTGATAATTCTTTAAACAACTTAGGTCGTGCAATACGTAATGACATCGATAACTATCATACTAGATGGTATAAAATTGCTTTAGACTTAGCAGCGAAGGTCAATGTTGAAGAAGGTAAACCTCGTACTTGTCATCGTCAGATAAATCGCAGCGACATCCCTGCTGACTGCACTTCAGATTACTATAAGAGATCTATCACGATTCCTGTAGTCGATCATATAAATTTGGAGTTAGCCAGAAGATTTGAAGAATTTTCTACTAATGTTAACTATGGTTTATATCTAATTCCATCATAATTAATTTCTTTTCTCTCTCATTCCAAGTCTGGATCCGCACGCTGGCAGGATAAGTTCACTTTATTTGCTACCATGTTTAATGATAATCTTCCAAATTCTATTGCTTTGGATGGTGAGCTTGAATTGTGGGAAACATATTGGAAATCTAAGGTAGTCTTCATGATAATATTAGTTCAACCCTAAAAGCCATTAACTTTCCGGGGTTTGAGAATATTAAAGTTTTGTTGAGAATTTTAGGGATCATTCCCGTAACCTCTTGTGAGTGTGAGAGATCGTTTTCAGCTTTAAGGAGACTTTCGATTTTGTAGCCAGCCAAGAAGGATTATCAATGCTAAATCCTGTACCAAATATCAAGCAAAATAATCATACAATAATTTCAAATATAATAAGTTCTCTGTGGTACGCTTACCAATAATACATAAAGAATAAAACGACAACTGCTTTCCCAAGGAATCCATTGTTTTCTGAAGAGGAGTTTATGGCGGCTGAAACGTGAAGATAAATACTTTTAGAGATGAAAATAAAGTCTAAAAAGACGTTCGCAAAATTTACATTCAATATGAACGCTACAATGATAAACACTAAAAACATGACATGAAACAAAATTTGTGACAAGTGAATATACATTGAAAACTGGCATGTGAAAATTTTTTATCTAAACAGATGTTGTGTTAAACGGGAAGAATCAGGTGAAACATGTCATGTAAAAATATTTCAATTAAAAACTTTCCGCGTATAGAATTAACATGTATACAGTGTATAAAATTTACAAACATAGCATGTGAATTGTGAACGTTACGTAAAGACATTTGTAGGGTAACTGATGACAATAAAGAAACCTCTTCAGCTTTCATGAGTTTGAAAACTTCACCAAACTGCGTGTGGTCGCCAGTTCCCGTTACTATCCCCTGCATTATAATTTTCAATTAATTTTCATTCGTAAACAAAAGCAAAGATAAAGTAACAACAAAAAAAAGAAACTGGAGCGAAACCTTCTAACGGTGGAGATCTTCGTGCTCATTAAAATCACTTCATAACACACTTAACATACATTTCCACCCTTTATCACCCTGTACTTGACAATATTTAATCATGTGGAGCTCTCAGTACCTAGAAAGAGTTTGAAAATTTTCACCTTGTCTAATGCCGTTGTTAGCACTAAATACATTTAAAGAGTACAGTTTAAATTGTATGACGGTCTTAATGGTAAGGCCCAAAGGTCTTGACTTCTGTTTTACGCGTATTGCAATTTCTCTTTTCAACCATGATGATTGATTTAATGTAAATTAGATTTTGTTTTAATTTTACACAAGATATGAGCGCAAGAAGCACTCTTATATTAACATGCTCTAAAGCATGTTAACTGATTTGTGCTAACATCTACAAAATTACTCCATGGTATATAGAAGCGCCAGTCAGTTGTTGCACAAGTACAACACATCTTTTACTACCAAATCCCCCAGTTATTACCAAATCAAGCACGTGTCAGAACTAGGCAATAAGCAAACATAAGCTAGCTCTCTGTTGGTCGGTCGAATTATTGATATGGACAATGAAGAAGGATGTTTTTGGGTCGAAGGATGATCTGTTTCTTCCGTTAGCAACATCTTGAAGTCAACTTTGTTGTCTAGAAATATAGAATACGAGAGAAATGAATTGATTTTTTCAGTATCGGAAATCATCGCACCATGAACTTATTATGTTCGTTAATAAATCACTAATCACTTTGGTTACTTCTTAGTACTTTAACATGGCTCTCTGATAAAATAATTTAGTATGTTCAGCATCATAAATTATTGTGACACCCTGGCTCTTGCGTTCACTTCATTGCCATCTTTTCTTATTATCGTCAGTGATTCTTAACCGTGTACACTTTTAAATTATTTGTTTTAAAATTGAGTTTCTTAGCCTGTGGCTGTCATAGAAAAATGATTTTCTTCTTTTCAACTTCCAATGGCAAAGTTACACAACGAGAAGGTGCTTTTGGTGCTGTCTTTGGTCATACTAGTCTTACAGCACAAGCAAAAGTGATTATTAATTGTCAAACAAGACAGAATAAATGAAGGATTAGAATCAACATGAGCATAAACAAAACAATATTCAAAAGAATTTCCGTTTTCCTGGTCTTTTAGGTCTCGCGAGAAAACAAAATTGAATGCACACGAATAGAATAAGCATAAACGATAAAACTTTATTTCTTTTTCTCTTCAGAGTTTACACAGAAAGACATGGAAATCTTCTTTCGTTTTTCTCTTGTTCTTTTTGTGTTCTTCTTTCAGCTAATGCCTAACACATTTCCTTAAGCCTGTGTAATGGTGTAACTTCGCTCTTTTGAGTGGGTGGGAGGAGCTTTAGGAATAAATTTGCCCATAAAAAGCGTGGTGTTATTTTTTATGTTGTTTCCCAAGCTGAAAGAAGTATAAAATATTGAAAAGAAGAGTATGATTTTTGATGTTTTTTTCTGTAAACCCTCGAGAGAGTCATAAGCACGCTCGTTGCCTATGCTTGTGATTACGTAGATGTTAATGTTCCAACTTTTGCTTATTGTTTTTCTTTAACACTTTATTGACACTTGACACAACATTCAAAAATAGATATATTCTATTCAAACAGTTCATGAAAAAAATTATTGCTTTGTTCCGACAGTTGGATTGGCTGGATTTGAACAGGACGCTCTATACGAGAAGGGATTACGTTGGTTTTATTCAGTTATTTTGGGGGGTGATTGACGTATTATCAGTGTACCGTATGTCAAGAAGCATCCTATGGTGATACAGGTGAGCCATCACCCCTCAGATTAAGCTCTACGATATGTTTGCTACAATGACGGAATCGTTGTAACAAAGTCTTCTGTTCTTACTTCATATGCTTCATCTTGTTTTATACAGTTTTCCAAAATGACTGAACTGTAAATATTGTAAAACAAGCACGATTTAAAAAGCGTGTATATAAATTTGTAAAAATTTAAGAATTGCCCAAGAATTTGTCCAAACAATTAATTTTTTGAGAAATTTCCAGAAATTTCCTTCAAATAGGCCATTCTTTTCTGAGAAATTTCCTTAGAAATAAGACCACATTTGACCATCGTTATCATGTTAACTACTTCATGTAAAAGTTATATATCGTCTTCCAAGAAAACAACATAACAATTTTTAATTTTAAACCTCACAAGCATTCGTTCTCCGCAAGAATATTTCTCTCCACATATCTGTTGTAAAAGAGTGAAAGACAAATAATATTTTAAAGAACATATAAAGTTTTTTGAAAGCTGAAACAAGGTAATAGATATATATGTTATTGTTATGCCTGAGTCTGACTTTGACTTTCATAGCGGGAAATTGAAACGATATTTATTTTTATTTCTACATAGCAAAGATATTTAAGTTTTTTCCTACACAGCCAATATTGTGAATAATCTTTTGTATAACATCTCTAACTAAAGCAATATCGTTAAAATGGATAAAGTTCAAGAACTTTCTGAAGCACTGCCTTTACCAAGTCAGCCATTCTTAAACGTCGAAGTAAATGAATGCAAAGAAAGGTTAGTTCATAAAATGAACAAAGGACTGTATGCAGAAGGATATTGAATTGCATTTCATGTAATAATCTAGTTGAGTGAGTCTGTGTTGGTGAAACCATGCTACAGGTGAAACTAGGTAATGAACAAATCATGTTTTTGTTTTGTAAAGAAACTTGAATAATTTTAATATGTTACTAGATTGACGTCACTGGTCATATGTTGTGCTTCAACAGACTCACTTCTTCAAATACCACTGTGCTGTCAAAACGTGAACAAAACCATTTATTCAATTTGATAATAAGCATTAACATCTTAATAGTATTTACCACTTTATTTTAGCACTATCCCAGAGTATAGAATTATAAAGCTTGTCAAAGACTTTCTTATCAACATGAAAACAATTCATGGCGACTCATGTTTCGTAGAATTTGTTGATCCTTTTTTAATGGAACATGTCAAGAGCATAACTATTGTGTATGACACAGATAATTTTTCAACATATGGCAAGGTTATTGACCCTATGATCAGACAATATTTACTTTCGCATGTGTGAGAGTAGGTTGTTCACACCCCCCTGGTATGTCACACATCCCTTTTTGTTGAACCCCCACGGAAAAGAAAATGCAAGAACTCTTAGAGGATTGACTTAGTTTGATAATGAAGATTTACATGAAGTACATATTTCTGTCAAACCTTCATAATTCTTTTAACAGATAATTGATTTGAAAAAAGTTATGCTAAAGTATCATGTCTATCAACTTCATGATGGGGGGCATGGATATGAAGAACTTGAGGATGATATATCTGCTCCAGACAACTGGCTTTTGCCTACAGGTGGGTAAATTTTGCCTGCAGGTGGTCAACTCACTTCAGTCCCAGGTCTTTTCGCTTTCACGAGTTATAAGTATTAGCAACAAATACAATTAATTCATCATTTTTAGAGGATTTTCAGGGCTTGTGGGAAAGCTTGCTCTTTGACTAGGATGTGAAAAATCAGGTTGTTCTTCATAATGAACATTTAATGATTTCTCTCGTGAGCGAAGTTTAAATTGTAGCTTGTTAAGGACGTCTTTAGCGCCGAAATAAGTTAACGTTTAAACAGTTAGCTGTCAAAACGTCAAATAGATTTTTTAAGGATTTTCCTAATTTCTCCTATTTTCCAATGTACATTATGTACTCGGAGTTACTGATCAACGGAGTTACTGATCTGCTAACTTATTAATCTCTAATATTTTCAAAAGGTTTACGCAAGCGATGACATTGTGCACCGTAGTGGTGACAAAGCTTACTTAGTAAACATTAAAATACACATCTCAGCAATTCTAGCGAGTTATATCGATTAAAAATGTTAAAAATTTTGTTGTTCTAATTTATTTACGAAAGTATATGTCGTGCCATGACTATGATATTTCATGTATCTCATTTTATCTTATTTTTTAGTTGCTAAAATATGCGGCAACGACACTTCTCTTCTCCGACAGGTTTGTCGTGTGAAATGAAACTATTGAACTGAAGACTTTTAGAGAAGCCAAATTGCAAAATCGTTCGTTTTTCCATCTTTTTAAAATCACTCCCAAACAATGACATTTCAAAGTATATATTAGTCACGTGTTTGAATCATATTTTAGAGGCGTGGATTTCAACATCATCTCGTGAAATAAAGTTATCTTATTGCATGGTAAGTTAGTTTCCTTGGTAACCAGACGTGAGTCCTTGCGTCATCGTCCGTCACGTGTATCTTTTTACTAATCAAATTAGATTCTATTTTTGCGTGTGTTGACTTTGTAACAACTCTCATCTTAACGTTGAGATGTCGTTGAAGTTAATAAATCTAGTTCCGTATCACAAAATGATCATATCCAATTGAAAATAGCATCTGTAATTTAAAATGTACATTGACATTATCTTTCCCTACAAACAGAGTGGAAAGTTAGTGATGAAAATGTTTCAGAAAATTCAAGAGTTTATTGACGACAAATAAGCTTTAGTTTGCGTTCTTATCGACGAGGTAAACTTTGCTTAAACATTTCTTTCTTAATGCTCATGGTCAGATAGATGAGAAATCATTTACTATTTGTGTTTCTTGTTTCACAAAATACCCGAAGCACATGTACGCTTGTCGGTAATGTTTAAGGAAAATACCTTTGCTATCCGTATCTTTTACTTCTGAAGGTTGAAAGTTTAACATCGGCAAGAAAATCTGCGTTGAACGGACAAGAACCTTCAGATGCCATTCGTGTTGTGAATGCATTTCTCACTCAAATTGACCATATAAAACTGTAAATGCCAAATATAAGCAGAATATGCATTTCGGCGAACATTGCGTTCTCATGGATTTTTTAGTGAACTAAGAGATTGTATTCGGTTATATGAACGGCGAGGCCAGCCGGCAGGGTTGTTGCGTTATGTATTATTTAATAAAATAGAGACTTTGTAGAAAATAGTTCTAAAGATAGCAAATACCATAGTAAATGGTAAAAGTAATATAATAAGTTGATAGTTCTTACAAGAACTGTTGTAAGTAAAGAGCACTAACCCAATAGTTCTAAATTAAACGACGCGATGCATTTCGGCAGACTACTCCTCAGGTGTCAACGTCTGCTGAATGAAAATTTACAATCTACCGATATTTATAATGCCAAGACAACAGTCTTTATCAACTTATTATATTACATTTACCATTCACTATGGTATTTGCTATCTTTAGAACTATGTATTATTTCTTTCTCTACAATGTTGTCGCTTTTACAGGAGTAAAAGCACGAAAATATTTATATGACATGAACAAACTTGCTTGATGACAACTTTGCTCAGTCAAATACTTATTATCTATCAATTACGTATTTACAGAAGTCTTGATTTGAACTACATTTATGCGTTTATTTGCTAAACCTAGTCTTCCCCAATGTTGTTTTCTTCTTATTTCAGACATCCTAATGTAATTATATTGACAACATCGAACATAACTAGAGCCATAGACGTTGCGTTCGTGGACAGGTTGAAAAATATGTTTGTGACTCGAAAGTTTTTTAATTCACTTTCTCATCTAACTTCGCTATTTGTTCGCCCACAGAGCCGACATCAAACAGTATATTGGTCCGCCATCAGCCAAAGCTATTTACAAAATTTACCATTCTTGCATCGAGGAACTTGTAAGGGTAGGGTATTCAATGTTTTTACCACAGGATAAGAAAAAATATAGTTGAAACAGCACTATTTGTTTGTATGTAACTTATGTCTTCTTGTGCACGTGATCAACGAAATGGCTGCCGGTCAATTATGTTTTCTGGCCAAAAGGAACGCCGAAATGGCTTACCGCAACCTGTCATCATATACAATATAAAACAACAATTTGCCTCGTGAAGTATATCCCCTCTTCTCAGTACTTTGTACCTTTACGTCTACTGTTTTATTTCCATACCACAATATAGTCGTTTGTGCAAGTTATACAAACATGTTGCTTAAATAGAGAGGTGTGCAGCTATATAGAAATTGATTGCAAACGATTGCATTGTAGATAATTTTTTAATAATCAAAATTAATGTTCACCGTTTCATCACAGACCAGTATCATATCACCAGCCACTCAAATTTTGGATTTAAGGTACAACTGAAAAAATACGCGAAATTTTATTTTGACGAAAATTGACGGTGTTTTTTCTCTTCTTATATTTGTCCTTAATTGTGTATGTAGAGCTCTGGAAATTTAACGGTTTGTTAGAAATTTTTTTGTTCACTTCTATGTTGATGACATGGTTTTCATTTCCGATGTACAACTTTTTCTCCCTATTTTCCATTGTAGCTTTGTCGACAACGATGTAACACACTGTAGTCTTGAATTAAAGAAGATAGCCGAGTAAGTGAAGTAGATGTTTGTAGATGTAGATCGTCGAGGTTAGTGGAGTCCTGCGAAGGACTGTTGATGTTGATGTTGACTGACTTCTCAACAACCTTAGCGGTAGTCATCTTTAGAGTCAGCATCAACAACAACAGTTCTTTTCAGGACTTTACTAACCTGGACGATCTACATCTACAAACATGTAACGATACTCCCATGTTCAAACCTTTCACTTTAAAGTAAAGTGATGTCACAGAGTAAAATAAACATTTCTTGTCTTCGTTTATGGTAAATATTATGTCACCCAGTCTTCATGTTTTCAAGTTAGTATTCTTCTCGTTTTACAAAGAAAACGAAACTACGCCCGGGGGATTTTCAGAAGTTGTCTGAACCTTGGCAGTATGTTCTAGTTTCTTTTATGAGAAGAATTCTTGTAAAGAAAAAAGACAAATTTTGAAAGGAAAAAACCCCGTTTTCGGTCCATGCTTCCCGATACCTTCTTAAGCGTAAGGCACTAAAACGCGGCATGTTAACGTTTCGGTAGCAGATTTCGGCCCCTCCACGCTCTACTACTTGGGAGATGCAATAGCAAGCTTCCGCCCATCAGACCCCGAGATCACCTGCGATAGGCTTTGCTCGAGGTACGCAGGGAGAATGCGGTCGCCACGGAAGTGTGGACCCCTAAGCCACTGCATACTATATCGCACCCAGCTTCCACTGCTAGTTGACATCTACTATATGAAGCTATAGATTTATATTTATATATACAAAAATTTAGAGGCTTACGAAAGTTGTGGTATTATTATAGTCACAACTGCGCATGCCCAGATAATTTCTTTGATAATTTGCGATTAAGTGGGAT